CGTGAAAAGTAAGAGTAGATCTCCATATAAGGGAGAGTTGCGAACAATCGGAACCATGGATATCTAAATCATTCAGAAAAAAGACCTTCCGCTCCTCATGTGCTAAATTATATATGAATGCACTTCCAAATTTGGTGACGAAATGAAAGTTTAATACGCGTAAGAATTTTATGCTGTCGCGTGAGAATATACACTAATATAACAGGAACATAGCAATAAATAATTCGACTAGAATCTAACACATTCACTCATTATTCACGGACATGCGAGACGAGGCGCATTTCTAAAAAGCCAACAATAGATTCCCTTTACGACAAACAGGTGTACTTGAAAATTTTCTTCCTTTCTGAGCAACCAATTAATTATTCTTGACGAATAATATAAACACTTTATGTTCAGCTTGAAGTGAGGCATGATTTATTAAAGACATTCGAAGAATACTATTCAAGATACACTATTAAAGTTCATTTGGAATGATATCAAAATAATACTTCTTTATTATGAGGCTTTTACAAAGTATCAATTCTCTAGCAATTTTAATAACAATACTGACGGGGTTATTAGCGGGTGTTCGAGGGAGCCGTAAGTTCGTCATTTGCGAAAATTCGGTTTTAGCATAATTGAATTTACTGATCAAGGAAATGCTTCTATTAATGTAGCAATATGTGAACTTTACCCTGGGAGTGGTGTGTGCTCTGTAAGTATGCGTGCGATAAATGTCCAAGGAGATATTGCCAACCTACTGTCGTTCAATTAAGACACATAATCTATCAATTTAATACATTCACTAATTCCATACATATATTTTCTTCGATCAGGATTACATAGCAAGTACAGATTATATTTATCTCAACGGGACGGTGTCGTTTGATGAAATCGAAAATTCGCTGGAGGACCTAAAAATCGCTCAAGGCCTTTCATTGATTGACCAAAATTCCACACTGTGTGTAAGAGCGCTCACGAGTTTTATATGTGGCGTGACATACCCAAGGTGTTCTAACAATGGATCATTTCCCAGCGGTTGTATGTATTGGTAATCCTATATCACTCAATGCGGTGACTCCTTATGACTTACATATTGCTCCAAATGTTACATAGCCGTGCCGCAGATAGCTGGGATTAATCTTCCGTGCAAGTCGACGTGTACAAATGTAAACGATATGTGTTCAAATATCCAAGGTTCCCTGGTGCAAAATTATACCCAACAGCTTCTTTTATACTCTCAAAACTGTTCCGAAATCAGTTCAAACCCACCATTTAACGTGTCGTTTCCGACCTCTAGCTGCGATTCCGAACAAATGTTAAAATTCACTCCACGATGTTTCCCTCCCCTCGTAGAGGATACTCGGTTCGCCATCAACAGTTCCCAAACCATAAACCCAAAGTTCTGTAAATTCGGTTGTTGTTTACCTTGTCCCCAGGCATACTACTTGTATCCGGAGGGTTATATGTACAAAAGCTTTTTGGCCACTCGAATTGTAAGGGCGATATCTGCAGGAGCTGCATTTATAGTCATGTTAACACATCTTTTGTTACCCGGGAGGAGGTCACATCCGGGTAGTTTAATTTTATTTGCCAGTTTTTCGATCTTCATTTACTCGGCCATCGTTTTCTTCTCCATTGGGGATCCGGAAAGGATTCAGTGTGTCGATGATGTAAATCCCAGTACTCAGGAGAACAATGCCCTCTGTGCTGTGCAAGGTATCATCACCTATTCGTTGGTTATATCCTTTGAGAACTTGGGTATACCTTCTGAACTAACTTCTCACT